ATAAGATCTAGAATACATAGAATTCAAATTCTAAAAAATTCTGAATCTAGAGTATATTGTAAAAATCCAAAATCCTGAATACATAATATTCAAATTCCAAAATCTAGAGATGATTGCTAAATTCTAAAATCCTCAATACATGAAATTCTCTCTCTAAAATTCAGATTCCATAGTATATAAAATCCAGAATACAATAAATTTTAACTCCAAAATTAGAATCCAGAGTCTATATTAAAAAGCAAAATCCAGAATTCATAACATCCATATTAAAAAAAATCTGAATCCAGAGAATACAGAATCTCAAATCCAGAATACATAAAATCATATACGAAAATCCAAAATACAAAGTATATTGTTAAAATCCAAAATCCTGAATACATACAAGCCATATACAATAATTCAAAATCCAGAATACAAACAAAAATTCAAAACTTAGAATCCTGAATATATAAAATCCAAAAACCAGAATATATAAAATCCAAACTAAAATAATCAGAATCCAAAGTATATAGTAAATTGCAATTTCCAGAATATTAATCTATATTAAAAAATTCAGAATCCAGAGTATATAAAATCCCAGCTCCAAAATTCTAAATTCATAGTATATAAAATCCAAAATACATGAAATCGAACAGCCAAAATTCAGGTTCCAGAGTATAAAAAATCCAAAATCCAAAATCCAGAATATATAAAATCCATAGACAAAACCTCAGAATCCAAAATATTTGTTAAAATCCTAAGTCCAGATTAGGTCAAATCCAAATTGTAAAATCCAGAATTCATAGTATACGTGCATAAAATTAAAACTCAAAAATTCTGAATCCTGAGTATATAAAATCCAAAATCTAGAATACATTAAATTAAGATTCCAAAATTCAGAATCCAGAGTATATAAAATCCAAAATTCAGAATACATTATTTCCAAACTTCAAAATTTAAATCCTGAGTATATAAAATCCAAAATTCAGAATACATAAAATCCAAACATCAAAACTCAATCCATAGCATATAAAATCTAAAATATATAAAATCCTAACTCCAAAATTCAAAATCCAGAAAATATAAAATCCAGAATACATGAAATCCAGATCTCAAATTTCAGAATCCGGAGTATATAAAATCCAAGATCCAGAATGCATACAATCTCAACTCCAAACTCCAGAAAATATAATATTTAAAATTGTTAATGTGTATCCAAGTTTCATAATTCAGAATCCAGAGTATATAAAATCCAAAAACCAGAATACATAAAATCCAAACTCCAAAATTCAAAATCCAGGGTGTCCAAAAATACAGAATCCAGAATACATAAAATTCAGAATCCAGAGTATATTGTTAAAATCTAAAATCCTGAACAATTCGAAAAATAATGAATCCAGATCCCAAGTAGAAATGAATCCCTGGGCTCTATATAGTTTATCAATATTGTCTCAATATTATTCCCTTGCCCTAGAGTATATAAGATTCAAAAACCGGAATCCAGAATCTATTAGATATTAAATCCAAAATCTAAAATATATAAAATCCAAAGTCCAAAATCCAGAATTGATATATTTTTAAATCTAGAATAAATAGAATTCAAACTCCAAAATTCAGAATGCAGAAAATACAAACCCAAGAAAAGTTCAAATCCAAAATCGAGATTCTATTTAAAATTTAAAGATATGTATAATATTTAAAAACAATAATGTAATTAAACATACTTCAAATTAAATTGAAATATTGTAATTAATTTTCTGACAAAAATTCTTCTGGAAAATTCTATGAACGCAACCTTTTCCTTAAACATTAAAACTATGTATAAAGTTTATAAAAACTTCTAGCACTTAATAAAAATCCATCTCTATCCTATCTCAATCTGCAACTTGCCAATAGGTGGTAACTGAATTCACATACAAGTCCCTAGATCCTTTTTAAATTTCCAAACTGACAAGAACTCCTCTTTACTCCTGCAACTCCTGCAACTCTCCACCGGTTTTGATTAATGTTCCGGCGTAAAGGAAATGCTAGATTTATTTCCTAGGAAACGTATCCGATTTTCCTGCAGATTTTTTTTATTTTTCCTTTTTGCTTTTAATTCTTTTTTTAAATTTCCGTTTCCACACTTTTGCGATAGATTTAAAAATATTCAAAGGAATTCTTTTCGAAAAGAATTGAAATCGATTTAGAGGGAAGTTTTTAGTGGAACGATGGTAATAAATAGTTTGTTTCTAATAATTTTTGTGTAATAGGATATTTTAGGTGTGTGTGTGTATTGGCACGTGTACGTGGTTGTATATTAAGACAAGATGACAACCCTTATTGCCTTCTGAGCCCCTCCACGGCGGAGCGAAACGCGGCAATTTCAAATAATAATTATGGCACTTTGTAAAAGCCACAAAACAGAGGGGTAGAATAAAGTAAAGTATATTTCAGGGTAGATATATATACACCTAAGTCTGTTTTTACACGGTTTTGATATAACACGGTTTGAAAATTGAAGATTTTTCATTTTTTTACACGATTTTATTCCATTTAGCACGATTTGAAATTTTATGTACTTAAATTTTTTTTGTCAAATTTAATTTTTGCGAAGTATGTTCATATCACAAGAAAGTATTTATGAAAGAAAAAAGTCTGAAACCATCGATAGTATCGATAGTTTGCGAACACTAGCTTAAAGATTTAAGTAAATTCTCCTTTAGTGCGTACAAACAATTTTTACTGGTCAAAGCAAATGTGAATAGCACTAATTTAGGGGAATTATTATTAAAATAAACATGAATTCTTGTTCTTGAAAATTCTTGTTTTTCACCAATTTTAATAGGTTTTAGAGAGTAGGACAAATCACCCATTTTTGTATAAGATCAATGTCTTTTTTTACACGGTTTTTTTTTTACACGGCTTCTTCTGGAACCAATCTCCGTGTAAAAACAGACTTAGGTGTGTATATATATATATATATATATATATATATATATATATATATATATATATATATATATATATATACGTATACAGGGACTATATACAGCAAAAGTACCTAATCATCATTCGCTTATCTTAATTTCTTAATTTTTTATGACCAAGTGGAGGGACTATTTAAAACAATCACGAAGATGGAGCAGATAGACAGTTTCGTGTTTTAAAGATGAGAAATTGTTTTTGTTGATGTGGAGTGAATTTAAGCATAAATGTTAGAAGTATTTATTGCAATTTGACACGTTCGTTTTTGTTTTACGATTTTTTACTTCCCGTAGGGTAGTTATGGTAATGAGCAGAAAATCGAAAATGAAAATTTTTGCATTTCTCGACGTTTTGAAGGTTCCTTAACATTTTACTGGCATACTTCAGAAAAAATGAATGTGTGCGGATAAAAAAATTTCTGTCCACGTTTTGGGCGCACGGATCAACCGATTTGAATGATTCATTTACCATTCGATCCCTATTGATAGGGAGATGTGCTGATTAGTTTTTGGCAAAGGCAAGTCTAGCCGTTACGGAGATACGGAGCAAAGAGTGCAAATGCAAATCGAGTTTTTGAAAGAGCGGAGTATCGGATTTGAATGATCTAAAAACATTCAATTTGTAATGATTGGGAGAAGAGGTGATTAGTTTTTGGCAAAGGCAGGTCCCGCCATTTCGAAGATACAGAGTTAAATGTGCAAAAAAATGGCAGTTTTTGAGTGAACTAAGCGTCCGATTTGAATGATCTAAAAGACTTTCTGCTAGTATTGACAAAACAATTGCTTTTGAGGATAAAAAAATTTCCTAAAAAAGAGGGAAAAAAAATTCCATAAATATTTTTGTAATTTTGGATTAAAAATTTAAAAAATCATCCAGACTAAGCACAGTCTAAGCGCCACTCTGGTACAAATGTTTTCCCAAGTGCGTTTAGACTGTTTATGTACTGGAGCACATTTCCATGAAAAATTAGTTTCCGTGAGAAATTTGTTTCAAAGAATGTAAATTTGCAAAACTTATAAATTTGTCTCTAAAAGTAAGAAATTTGTTTCTAAAAGTGCTAAATTATTGAATTAAGTATAAATGTGTGAGGCTCATAAATTTGTTTCTAAGAGTGAAAAATTATAACCTATATAAATTAAAAATAGATAATTTCAATCTATTTAAATAAAAAATGTCAAACTTGATTAATCTAGATTAAAAATTATGTATTCGTGCTCTTTGAAAATTCTTGGTTTTTGAATTTTTGTTCCAGAGCATAATTATTTCACAATCTGTACTTGATGGCAGTATGTTTTTAATAACTCTTTTCATACTTATATAAGTTAATTGAAACAAATATATATGCAAACAATATTAAATTATGATAGTATAATGATATTCCCAGAATAGGTGTATACAATTTGTATCTTTATGTAAAAAACAATGTATGTATTTAAGTCAAATAAAGCAAATTTTCAAATTAAAAAATTAATTTCACAATCTGTATCTTCCATACAATGTACATTTTAGGGTACAAAATCCTTTAAATCAAACCCTGATATCTCCACCGAATTGTTGAATATTTTGTCCATCGAAATTGCAATTTTGATATACGACAGCCATCCATTATTATTATTCCCAGTTATTTACAAACACAGTTCCGCAGTTAATCAAATATCAAAATATTTATGTTGGACGGGATTTCATAACAATATTTCATATGAAATCATATGAAAATCATATGAAATAGTATCCGGGGGTACAAAATATTCCATTCCCATGGAATGATAATGATATAGCAACTTCAATGAAAACAAGTCCCCAGTAATTTGTGGTCGACCTCAAAAAGTCGCCGTATTATTGCTATTGTATTAATTAATTGTGGTTGTAATTTTTGGCGATTAATTAATTTGTATGGTTACAGATATTTGATAAATTAATTATTGAAACGTAAAAATTTCTGGAACGTTTTGCATAGAGTTGTGGTGGATTTAATTGCAAATTTCTGAATTTCAGTATAGGCTAATTATATAGGAATATATTTACAAAGGCAATAATATAAATTTTTTTTCCAGTGCCTCCCGACATTTCGGACGAAAACAGTTCCAGTGACGTCACAGCCCAAGAAGGGCAAGACGCAAACCTTCAATGCACCGCCAATGGAAGACCCCAACCTAGGGTCACTTGGAAACGTGAAGACGGACAACCTTTATTGGTCAGGACTAAAACCAAAGACCTCGTCAGAGGTAAATAAAACAGACACAAAATACTAAACTAAATGTTTTTTGAATCATTCAAATCGGACGCTTGGTTCTCACGCAAACTTAAAATACACATTTTGCTTAATAACTCCAAAACTGCTAGACCTGCCTTTGGCAAAAACTAATCACCACGTGAATCACGGCAATAGCGATCGATGGGTTTTTGAATTATTCAAATCGGTTGCTCCGTTCTCTCGTGATCGTCGAAAGAAGATTGTATCCGCACGCACGTACCTACACAAACACGCATACACATTTTTTTGAAAAATACGCCAAATCGTTCAAAATACTGATAGAAAAATTTTGTTTTTGATGTTTTGCGATTACTATAACCCTACGGGTAGTTAGTTTCACTACTTGGAAACTGTACTAAAGCATTAGTGGCCAAGACCAAAATAGGTCCTGCATAACCACTTTTGACACTTTTTGCACAGTACCTCTAGAACAACTAGACCTGCTTTTGGCACAAACTAATCAGTACGTGAACCCGATAAATAGAAATCGATAGGTTTTTAAATCATTCAAATCGGTTGCTCCGTGCTCTTGTAATCGTCGATGCAAGATTGTATCCGCACGCACGTACCTACACGAACACGCACACACATTTTTTTGAAAAATACGCCAAATCGTTCAAAATACTGATGGAAAGATCTGGTTTTCGACGTTTTGCGATTACTACAACCCTACGGGTAGTTAATATCAGCACTTAAAAACTCAACTAAAGCATTGGTAGCCAAAACCAACCCCAAATAGGTCCTGATTCCGACGTCCCTGATACCGTACTTAAAATTCCACATATTATCTCCTACAATTAAATTCGTCTCTCATATAATAATAACATAGTTAATATTATAATTCTCTCACGTTGACAGTTGAGTAGTAAAGTAGAGGCGGCGACCAAATGCACTGTAATTCAGTTGAAGTTTGTACCCGGATAGAAGTGGTTAGAGTAGGTGGTAAGTGGTAGGTAGGCACGTAGGTTGTATATATTAGTTTGTTGTGTTGTTGCACAGCTACTTGGGCCATAACTTTGGTGCATTATGCAGATGACAAATAATATCTCTGCTCGTGCCGCAGAGCCTATTGTCTTGTCATTAATAAGAACAGTGCTAAGTTGGAGGAAGAGGATGATAATATATATATATATATATATATATATATACTAGCTGGCCCGCCATATATTTTACCATGTACCAAAGATATAACTTTTTGTGCAACAATTTTCGCATGCTTTTATAACATATTTAGTAACTTTAAAACCATTGATCCAAAACGAGTGATATATTTGAAAAAATTGTTCAAAATTAAACAACCTACAATTTTTTATAACATCATAGTGCTCTACAGCAACTCGGTATACTTTAAAATCAATTACAAGCATGAGACACTCGAGTACTTCAACCTTAGACAACTTACTTGTGCACTTGTTAATAGAATTCCTTTTATCTTTCAAACCGTTCGTCTGAAATTCATGAAATGTTCAACAAATTCATACAAAATTGAATAATCTATAACATTTTCTAATATTACAATGCTATACATCAACTCTTTATACTTTAAAACCAATTACAAACATGAGACACTCGAGTACTTCAACTTTGACAACTTATGCACTTGTGCACTCGTTAATAGAATTCCTTTTATCTTTTAAACCGTTGGTCTGAAATTCAGGAAATGTTCAACAAATTTATACAAAATTGAATAATCTGTAATATTTTCTAGTGTTACAATGCTCTACAGCAACTCGGTATACTTTAAAATCAATTACAAACATGAGACACTCGAGTACTTCAACCTTAGACAACTTACTTGTGCACTCGTTAATAGAATTCCTTTTATCTTTTAAACCGTTGGTATAAAACTCATGAAATGTTCAACAAATTCATACAAAATTGAATAATCTATAATATTTTCTAATATTACAATGCTCTACTTCAACTCCTTATACTTTAAAATCAATTACAAACACAAGGCACTAGAGTAATTCAACCTTAGACAACAACTTGTGCACTCCTTAATAGAATCCTTTTTATCTTTTGAACCGTTTGTCTAAAATTTAAGAAACATTCAGCAAATTTGTACAAAATTACAAAATCTAAAAGTATTTCTAACATTATGTTTCTCTACAACAACTCTGTATCTTTTTATTTCAGTAGACTCTTTCAACGGCACAGTGCTCCACCTGAGCAGGGTCGAGCGCCGCCAAATGGGCGCCTACTTATGCATAGCATCCAACGAGGTGCCTCCAGCAGTCAGCAAACGAGTCACCCTAAACGTCCATTGTAAGTAAAACAAAAAATCCGCCAAAATATAAGTGTGACTTATACAATTATCTTTTCTAGTTGCTCCTTCTGTGAGAGCCCCCAGCCAGCTCCTGGGAGCCCCTTTGGACTCCGATGTCCATTTGGAGTGCGTCGTGGAGGCGTCTCCAGCAGCTGTAACTTACTGGTTAAAGGGAAGACCTACGACTTATGCTTCTCAGGAAGAGGAAGGGTTGAGGGAGGAAAATGATGTTGCTGGTCAGTTGTTGGAGAGGAAACCTGAGATGCTCCTTGATGGGTAAGATAATTGATTAGATAAATGTTGGGCGAGAAAACTTCTCCAGAGTGGACAATTGCAGGAAATGAATCTAGAGCTGATTTTACAATATTGACATATTACCATTACCCAACCACAACTCCCTCTTCCCTTGTCACGAGTAATTTTCCTCCGCAAATCAAAGGGGCCGTTCTTCCCCCCAACCCCAGTTTCCCGTGTCTGTTATGTTGTGCCAGCAGCTGCTTAAAACATCACTTGCCGTCAACGATATAATATTGATCAACATCGAAATAGGAGTCATTAATCACATTGAAAGCCGCAGCGAATAGTAGTTGAGTAGAGTCGACTCTAGTCGACGAGTCGATGGAGGAGCTGTCTCGCTAGATGACGTTACTGTGCGTCGTCGAAGGGTAGGTAGTAGGTTCAGGTGGAGGAATGGCTTTTCGCAAATTCTATTTGTAAAAGACGAGAATTGAGACGGATTGGTAAAGGAACGACTTATTTGCTGTGCAAAATGTAATGGAGTTTCTTGGACGTAACTTTTTTGCCAGGCGAGATATAATAAAAATTATTTAACGGACAAAATTTAGATGAAATATTCTATGAAATATGATATAATGTTTGACATAACACATTTTCATGAAATAATTTAAGCATGCAATATTATCGATCTCTACATAGTAAATCTAAATTCTAACACGTTTTACAATTGTACATATTTAACAAAATTTTGCAATCAACTATTTCGCCTAAAACATCCAATTACTAAAATTTTCTCTCCATTTTCCAATCTCAAGCAATTCAGTATCGATTTCTCGCTCGGATTGGATTTACTAGTTGCGCATCGTCTGTAGAATTTCATTCAGATGCAAATCGCTCTAAAGACGACGATGAAGGCTTTGTGAATTATTATTAGCTAGAGTTCCAGCTATATAGCTATTACTGCAGCGTAATGCATGAATATTTAACTAGAATAATACGCTGTTGGGCCGATTAGTTACTCTTTGACCCGAAGAAGGAGGTTGTGTAACTAAAATTAATCCTAGGTAAATCTAAAGATTTGTGGGAAAATATGTTTTGTTCAAAGTCTATTTTTGATAAATACGTTCCCAGACTGATTAATAAAATTTTTAGTTTTTTTATAAATATCTCTGAAAACGATCAGAAAGTGTGGCAAACTGTCTGAAAAATGTTGCAAGTCGTCTGAAAAATGTTGCAAGTCGTCTGAAAAATGTTGCAAGTCGTCTGAAAAATGTTGCAAGTCGTCTGAATAATGTTGAAAGTCTTGCAAGATGTCTGAAAGTCTTGCAAGATGTCTGAAAGTCTTGCAAGATGTCTGAAAGTCTTGCAAGATGTCTGAAAGTCTTGCAAGATGTCTGAAAGTCTTGCAAGATGTCTGAAAGTCTTGCAAGATGTCTGAAAGTCTTGCAAGATGTCTGAAAGTCTTGCAAGATGTCTGAAAGTCTTGCAAGATGTCTGAAAGTCTTGCAAGATGTCTGAAAGTCTTGCAAGATGTCTGAAAGTCTTGCAAGATGTCTGAAAGTCTTGCAAGATGTCTGAAAGTCTTGCAAGATGTCTGAAAGTCTTGCAAGATGTCTGAAAGTCTTGCAAGATGTCTGAAAGTCTTGCAAGATGTCTGAAAGTCTTGCAAGATGTCTGAAAGTCTTGCAAGATGTCTGAAAGTCTTGCAAGATGTCTGAAAGTCTTGCAAATTGTCTGAGAGTCTTGCAAATTGTCTGAGAGTCTTGCAAATTGTCTGAGAGTCTTGCAAATTGTCTGAGAGTCTTGCAAATTGTCTGAGAGTCTTGCAAATTGTCTGAGAGTCTTGCAAATTGTCTGAGAGTGTTGCAAATAGCCTGAGAGTCTTGCAAATAGCCTGAGAGTCTTGTAAGTTGCCTGAAAGTTTTGTAAATTTGTTCAGAGTGCTGTAAATTGTCTGAAAGTGTAGCACATTGTCTGAAGGTCTGATAGTATTGCAACTAGTCTGATAGTCTTGCAACTCGTCTGATAGTTTTGCAAGTTGTCTGAAGGCCTTGCAAATTGAAGGCCTTGCAAATTGTCTGAAGGTCTTGCAAAATGTCTGAAGGTCTTGCAAAATGTCTGAAGGTCTTGCAAAATGTCTGAAGGTCTTGCAAAATGTCTGAAGGTCTTGCAAAATGTCTGAAGGTCTTGCAAAATGTCTGAAGGTCTTGCAAAATGTCTGAAGGTCTTGCGAATTGTCTGAAGGTCTTGCAAATTGTCTGAAGGTCTTGCAAATTGTCTGAAGGTCTTGCAAATTGTCTGAAGGTCTTGCAAATTGTCTGAGGGTCTTGCAAATTGTCTGAGGGTCTTGCAAATTGTCTGAGGGTCTTGCAAATTGTCTGAGGGTCTTGCAAATTGTCTGAGGGTCTTGCAAATTATCTGAGGGTCTTGCAAATTGTCTGAGGGTCTTGCAAATTGTCTGAAATTGTTGTAAGAATTATAAGAATGTTGCAAATCGACTGAATTTGTGGCAAGTTTTATAGAAATGTTTTAAATTGTCTGAAATTGTTGCAAGATTTATGGATATGTTTTAAATTGCCTAAAATCTTAAAATATTCATAGAAGTTTTGTCTGATAAAATTGTACATTGTCTGAATCAGTTATACATTCTGAAAGGGTTGCAAAGTGTTCTAAAATGCTGTATATTCTCTTAAAATGCTGTGAACAATATAGAAATTTTGTATACTTCTTGAAATATTTGTAAATTTTCCAAAAATTGTTAATCGAACTGTAGTTCCAGGATTGCAAGAAATATTGAAAAACTGGAATTTAAACATTTCTTATCGGATTTTTTTCTGATAATAAATAATATAATTTATGAGCAATTTCCGGAATCTAGATAGAACCGCTTATTGATTTATAAAATTATGATTTATTTATGACATGACACTATATAGTCTTACATCAGCGGATATTATCGTCTCTCGATATCTCGTGTTGATTCTATTAATAGGATTTTGGGATGTCAGACACGTTTGCACAATTGATTTTACGAACCATAAATAACCGCTGAGTTTGTGGTAATAATACAATATCTTAGCTATAATTATATATATATATATATATATATATAAAATAAATTAGTCTAAAACGTTTCATTCAGCTCTCATTTTATCTAATTTCCATAATGAACTTGATTCCATCTCCTCCACCGTACGTGCAAAAAATCGCAAAAAATTAATTTAAAACATAGTTTTAATTACATCCGAGCATTTATATTTGCATATATATATATATATTTTCACTGCGATTTCAACCTTTTGAACCTGGTTAAAATGACCTCCTGGCTATACCTCCATAGTCCTCCACCGTTTTTCAAATGATTATGAAAAAAGTTCAATTCGTTAATGTAAATAACGGACGTTGAGAACTAACTTATAATTAAAACGTTCGGAAATAATGGCGAGGCGAGTGTGCGTTTTTTTGAATTATGACTTTTCCTGGGGAAAAAAACTAATAAAACTGGACATAAAATTAGTTAAAGTAGGTACGTTTGATGGATTGCATTATAAAAATAGAAAAAGGTGTGAAGGCCTAAAGACAAATTGCATAAATATAAATCCATGTCCCACTCCACCTTATTTTTTCTCCATTTTTAATTAAAACCGCATCGTTATAAATAACAAAACATTTTCTATTCACAAAAACTTTCTTTTATGATTATATTTCTGTCATTTCAAAAACGAAACTTTTTTGAAACTTCCTAATGAAACCTATCAAACCAAACAGAGAGAAGAGAGAATGTTCTATGATATATTGGACTTTCTCTCAATAACTTTTTTCATTACGGACTCCACGATTTATTACGAAATCTTAAGATTTATGTTGATCGGGATTTTTTGAAAAAAATACATACATCATCTTAGTAATAATTGACAACTTTTTAATAAATTTTGTTAATTGATAAATTAAAATATAAACAATTCCTTGTTAACACTTTCATACACTCTTATATAAAAGTTTTGAATAAAACGACTTTGAATTCGATATTTCATTCTTTAGCAATATAAATAGAATAGAATTTGCGACATTTTTGTGGTTTTTATCAAATAACTCAATAATTTTATATGGAACTACCTCTTCCTTTTCAGTTAGATAAGGTAAAACTAGATAAAATTTACTACGTTTCCTAGGAAACCCATTTAAACACTCCGATATAAAAGTTTTGAATAAAACGCCTTTGAATTTGATATTAAATTATTTAGCATAATAATTAGAAATTCGGGATGTTTTTTGGTTTTTGTCAAATAACTCAAAAATTTCATATGAAACCATCCCTTTTTCGTTATATAGGATGAAACTAGATAAAATTTACAACATTTCCAGGGGAAAACTTTTATACACTCCGATATAAAAGTTTTGAATAAAACGACTTTGAATTTGATATTTCATTCTTTATAATATTGTGATAGATACATTTTATACTATCATGTATTTATTAATTAAATATTTTTTATAACTTTTAAACGGTTTGTCAAATTTAAATGAAATATTTGATAAATTTTTATAAAATTATATAGTCTACAATATTGTGCAACATTTTAACGCTCCACAGCAACTCGGTATACTTTAAAATCACAATTTAAAAATATACCACAGTCCGTAGAAAGAACATTTTATCACACTATGTGTAGAATTATCTCATATTAATTTTAAAGTATATATAAGTTCATATTTACAAGTAATTTTAAAGTATTCCGAGTTGCTGTAGAGTTTTATGTTAATATAATGTTACACAAAATTATAAACAATTTAATATTGTATAAATTTTTCATATATTTCATTTAAATTAGGCAAACCGTTTAAAAGTTACAAGAGATCTAATAAATAAATACATAAACGCACTCAAGGAAAATTACAGTTTGTTTACAAGCTCAAAATAATAATCAACTTTTAGATTAAATTTTAAAGTATACCGGGTTGCTGTAGAACGTTATAATAATAGAAAATATTAAAGATTATTTAATTTTGAACAAATTTGCCAAATATTTCATTTATTTTGGA